TGCAGAGTCATCTCTCTACTTTCACACCATACACGCACACAGTGACTCACTCCACAACGTCTCCTTTATACAACTTTCATTCATGCTCAAAAAGTTAAACCCAGCCTCGACAAAACATACACGGCCCGATGGCGATGCTGAGAGCAAATTGGGGGACACGACTAACTCATCCGTGTTCTTTCCTGGCTGTCGGACTGATTCACACATATCCTATTATCTGCAGCAAATATTTCCGGAACGCGCTCTCTCTCTCTCTTTATCTGGCTGCCAAACGGGATGGAGTCTCCGGCTCCAGATATTTTTGGCAAATGTGGACGGCATATGGAGTTGACCAGCTTGGAATCTCCTATCAGATTACATAACAGTAGGACGCTGGATCCCTCTACCCTGCAGAAACCGACCTTCATGCAAACAAGCAAACAAACAAACTCTCCATCCAAAGTGCATGCCACCCTCTTCGCTCGTCTACTTCATCCATTGCTGTTGTGCACGTCTAAACTCATGGTGCTTCCGTGCTTATTCGGCATCATCTACCCTGCTGGTGTGGTTGTCTTTTTGACTCAGGCTGGTATACGGATGAGTGTGGTACATTTCTACCAACTGTGGGTATTGACTCAAAGCTTAAGCAAGCCATTGAGACCCACAGTCCTCTATAAGTGAACTTTACATTTAAACCTGGTGCTGTGTATATGTTTATAAAAAAAACATACTAACATACAAGTATGCAAATGTGTAGGTGAATGCAAGTTGTATCAACAGTTGTATCAGTTGTATCAACAGCGTTTCAATAGCAGTAACAAAGCTCATCAGTCAAGGAGGAGACAAAGTTACTATCAAAGTCTGTGTCTTTAAAACATATGTGTCTTTATTCAGGTAAATATCTATAAATTTGACAATATTTTAACTAACTTAAACTAATCAAGATTCTCTTTAAATTGTTGCTATGTCTGTGGTTGTGTGCCATTCAGAACTGAATTGGAAATGCCTTTTAAATTCAAATTCCATTCCTGATTTTGAAATAAGGTAGCCGACTGCAATTCAATGTCAATGTAAGGAAGTATAATTCAAATGAATTTTAATTAAATAACTGTCACTTTTAACTAGAAAGGCAAAGTTTGTTAAAAGAAATGTTGAATGATTGTTGAAAAGGTTTTAATTTTTGGATGGATGGATGGATGGATGGATAGGTAGATGTGACTAATGTCTGCAAATTATGTAAAAATGTGTTTCAGGTTTAAGGATTAATCTTACCTATGAGGTCTTGTCAATATCACACTCTTCATTATGAACGCTGCTTCAGGTCTCGGAGCAGCACAGAATCAAATTAGCTTTCTAAAGTCTGATTATGCCTTGTTACTACCAGGGTGCTCTCATCCAGAGAACTTCATTACCCATAATGCACTACAGGACCAGCTGCACAAGTCTCACACTGTGTTTAGTTTATCAACGAATGAATTGCCCCCTATAATAAACCAACCACATACTCTTCCAGTCAAAGTGCTCTGTTCTTAACAAGAGCCACCCTCCTAATTTCTTCTCCACCAATCAGTACGTGTCAGCAGGTCTAACCCCCTATGAGGCAGGCTGGTCTGGCTGCAGTGTTGATGACCACCCAGTGCTCCCACTGAGGCAGCGCTCTCTCATTTCCAGCACACACAGATAAAAAGACTGCACACTGTGCTGCAGATAGAGTCTGCAATCAAAACAGAGCTCAAATCATGGATAAAACATGCATGTTTACCGCATAAAGACCTTGCAATGCCTGAAAAATAGAACAAAACGGTTTTGACCAAGGCTTTTTCATGGCTTAAACACTGAAAGTGAATTAACCGAATTACAAAAATGTAATATGTGTGCCTCAGTTCCCAGGGCAAATTATATGCATGCCCATGCATACATACACACGCAAACAGTAACCCACCCACATCCTCTTGTACATACAAACCACCCTCGACCTCACAGTCACACACACTTGAGGACCTGATTGTTAGTGTGTAATATATGCACAGCTACAGCTATTTGTGTTTTGAATGTTAATTGAATGCTGGAAAGTGCCAGTGGGGGAATAGTTCTAATCAGCATACCAATAAACCCTTCACATGATAAAGTCTTTATAAGAAGCACTTACTCCCATGGCCTCCATATACCTCAACAGTCACTGTACTCCCCCTCCTCTCTCTCTCACCTCTCATCTCTTTCCTATCATCCGCGTGTCCTCGAACCTTCCTAGATGGCGCGAATGCAAAACAGCCGCGTTACAACTGAATCCAACACATGTGACCATATGCTTCAGTGATTAAATAATAGTAAATCTAGACTATAAAAACGAGGAAAAAGAGGCATGTGTGGTGTTGAGGCGAATGCTTGAGTCGCCATGGCAACGCAAAGGCATGAATAATACGCTCAATGAAGAATTATTACCCGTATAATAAACTCCTCAGAACAGCCAGGTGACTTGGCCGGGGCCTTGTTGAAAACGAGAGAGACGAAGCAACACGCAGAAGACACAAATGTATATTTCAAGGTCAAAGTGAGCTGTAACTCCTTTGCCAACTGCAAACTTTTATTGGAAGTGGACACACGCGTGAGTGCGCCTGCACTCGCACAGCCCCAGATTGCTAATTGCAGTATAGAGGGTAATTATGGCTCTGGTGAGTGGTCAGCGGAGTATGTGCTGGCCAGTGCTGTTGGCTGGACCTGGTCTTTGTGGGGTCTTATTGAATTTGAGGCCTGGTGCAGTGAATTTGGAGTTGGCCGAGCTGTCTCTCTCTAATGCTGCAATCTGCCACACGACTTTCCGAAGACATGACGGGTTGCTTTCAAACACAATGGCTGCCAGAGGACGCAGCTGCCTTTACTATTACAAACACACAATGGTCACATTCAGCAAAGTATACACAGCAGTCCTCTAAAAGGGACAATATGGCTCTGTAAACAGTAAGCGTTTATGCTCTTTGTGCACATATGCGTGTTCATCTGTGTTTATGTATATTTATATATGTATGCACGTGTGCATTTAATCCACGCCCCTGGGTGCGCCAGGGGCTTTTTATCCACGCAAGATCTCCCAAATGCAGCTCAAAAGCAATATCCATGAACCATTCCACCACAATTGCTCATTGTCAGTTTGGCCCTTTGGGACACAGCGGATTCCCGGGACTTAATTTCTGTCCTCCCCCCTATCGTTCAACCCATTGACTCCAAAACCCCATCAGCTGTATAGAAAAATAATCTGCAAAAAAATACCTCTATCACATAGAAATTTGAACCACATCCTATACTTCCGAGACAGGTCGCCTATGCCAACCTTCCACTTCCCCTTACCTTTCATCTCTCTCCTGTGTTTTTTTTTTCCTTCTTCTGTATTAGGACACGTCTACGTCTTTGGTTGGCTGGTTGTGAATTATCTGCTCACTAAGGAAGGGGGGAAATTCTGAGCAAATATGAGGAAGCAGCAGGATGCTAATAATGCACCTCCAGCTGTTCAAGTTAACCTGCAAATGTGTCCATCTGTACCTCCAGAGAAAGAGGGAGACAGAGAGAGAGAAAGATGAAATGCTAGATAGGATAGATAGGGAGGGAGTTATACAAATGAAAAAAAGATTGAAAGGATAAATGCGCTCACATGAAAAAAAAACAACGATGGAGGTGGAAATAAAATGGTGGATATTTTGAAAGAACTCAGAAAAAGGGAAGAGAGAGAGAGAGAGAGAGAGAGAGAGAGAGAGAGAGAGAGAGGGGTCCTGGCAGTAAGCCGGCTCTATGTGGATGATTGTGAGCAGTCAGAGTGACCTTGCTGCGTCTGGACCATCCCCGCCCCCTGCCCTGCGTCCGACTGTGCCCTGCCTTTGGACCCTCACCCAGGGCCAAAACACACACACTGCCATCCTGCTGGGGCCTCTATGGAACATAGGCACCATGAACATATGATATTAAACTAACACACACACACACTTAATATCAACCTAAATAATGCTTGCACATAGACACAAATCACACATTTAATGAAGACACTACATCATTTGTAGGTCATGTGTATGAACCTCTGCCAAAAACTCCCATGGACGCCCCCTCCTCTCCCTTCCATCACAATCTTTCCTCTCGCTGTTCTCAGTTGGTGCGTCTATAGACTCTTCCTCTGTAAATACTGTCATATCAAAGATCTTCAGTGGCTGTTTTATGTGGATGTTTACAAACTGATCTGAGACACATCATCAGCACCGATGATCAGAGAGCCGAGACTGTTAGGGGAGTTCATTGAAAAGAGAAGAGCTGCGGTTCTCTACATATCTGCACGTATCTGTGGGGGAGAGAGGGGAATGTTCGAGCGCAGCGACAAAGGGGAAGAATGGAGGACGGTGATGGAGAAGTGCAGAAATCCAGGTTATCAGAGCTGGTAAGACTGTGATAAATGTAATTAAGGGATTACATTAGTCACATCCGCTCGATCCGCTCACCTAAAAGGGTGCAAAAACAAGTCTTTTTTGCAAGACTTTTTAATTAAAAGTGAACAGCGTTGTTTCTATGCCACTAGCGGCACCAGTGGAATTGCCAAAACAAGAGTTTCTAAACAGGTTTCGCAAAACACTCCTGCCGCCCCCTCTTCGCTGTCTGACACTAGTGAACTCATAAGATGCACTGAATTAAATTTATAATTATTTAAATTTATATTTATAATTATTATATTTATCATTTATAAGAATTTCCAGTGAATTTGATTAGAATTTACCCCACACCACAGGAAGTTGAACTTCCTGTGGAATGACAAGAAGAAGAATTTACTGAATTGTAGTTCAAAGACATTCAGCACAGGTCAAGCAGTCTGTCTGTCTGTCCATTCAGCTGGCATTTAAACATTCTAACATAACTTTTAAGTGTTTTAAATGGTAATTTTAAGTTTTCCTAAACAGAACAAACCTCGGAATCACTGTAAACTTACTGGTTTTGAGTAATAGAACTTTGAACTTTGCACTGAAAAAGGACAAAAACATTCTGCCTATATTTTTTTTGTAAACAGATGCCTGCAGATGACTATAGCTGGGAGCTATTAGCTGGAAAACACTATGGGATCACAGCATGAAGCCTTGCTGGCGGTCTGACAAAGACACTGATTATACCTGCTGTGTTGATTGTATCTTAAAATGGGTTGCATCATTCGAATCACCAGAATCTCAGCTTTCCAAAGATATGTGACCGGTTTAGAATTTTAGTTTGAGTTGTTTTATGTCATGAAGTTAACCCTCAAAAACACCCAGTGTACCATGGGCGGTATAAAAAAAAATGGAAAGCTAACAGGCTAAACAGACAGCGTACTGAAAGCCTTTGTTTACACTTTTTGGAATTTCAGTCTACAAATGGTTTACTTTGTTATCTCAACTTATTAAACTGGAATAGAAGAAAGTATTTTAACATCGAAAAAATTATACACAACTTTGTTCATTGCTGTGCTTCCTCAAATCATGTGCAGGAGCCGTGTTTGTGTCTCAAATGACTGTTCTATCCCCTGTGCAGGGCACTGCCTTTGATGTGACTTAATGGAAAGGTTTCTTTCTGCAGATTAGGGAATAGGGAACGACTGAGCAGTTTGAAAGAAGGCCCATCTTCCCTCAGGACTGCAACTTGCTCTATGCCTGCATATCTTCTCTGCATGCCACTTCCTAAGTTGTTTTATGTCATGAAGTTAACCCTCAAAAACACCCAGTGTACCATGGGCGGTATAAAAAAAATGGAAAGCTAACAGGCTAAACAGACAGCGTACTGAAAGCCTTTGTTTACACTTTTTGGAATTTCAGTCTACAAATGGTTTACTTTGTTATCTCAACTTATTAAACTGGAATAGAAGAAAGTATTTTAACATCGAAAAAATTATACACAACTTTGTTCATTGCTGTGCTTCCTCAAATCATGTGCAGGAGCCGTGTTTGTGTCTCAAATGACTGTTCTATCCCCTGTGCAGGGCACTGCCTTTGATGTGACTTAATGGAAAGGTTTCTTTCTGCAGATTAGGGAATAGGGAACGACTGAGCAGTTTGAAAGAAGGCCCATCTTCCCTCAGGACTGCAACTTGCTCTATGCCTGCATATCTTCTCTGCATGCCACTTCCTCTGAGCCTTCATCTCCCAGCATGCCTTGCCCAGCTCCTCTGACTCTAAATCTCCCAGCATGCTTCCCCCCCACAGAGACTGGCCAGGCCATAGTGCACCTGTGAGTTACCATGGTTACCCAAACCCATGTCTTTTGTGATGCTAGGATCACATACTCAAATACAAACAAATCAATACATAATGCTGTATTAATTATTCGAAGGCCAGGATTAAATATACATGTGTTTAGAGATTTGTTTGTGCATTCAGACAGTAGTAGGGCTTTTAAAACAGCCATCTTGGATACGGCATTCCCAATTGGACAATGACTCCCAGATGATGCTGACGCACTTACAGACACAGAAAACAAAAGCCCTCATTTCCTGCTGTTGTAGAGAATCTGAGTCACTCAGCATCACGTTCAAGCTTTAAAAAGTATAAGAATGTGAAAGAATTGTTTGGAAAATGACAAAAAAAATCTCTCATAGAATATCCAAAACGTTTCCTCACTATCTTTATAGAATTTGTTTTCCAAATGCAACTTGAATTACAATTATTAACAAAGCACATCTGTGATTTGTATGCACTTATTTAGACAGATCTAGTAGTTCTTACTAAGATGACAGCGTGTATTTTCTGGCTATGGCTGTTATGGGAGGTTATATGCTCTGGATGTGTGCATTAAAAAACTAGGGTAAGAAATTAATTAAGATAAGGATCATACCTGACGCTGCTAATAAAGTGGCCGTTCTGAACAGTCCAGACCCACTGTAATGATTTAATTCTCTTTTTAAATCAGATGGGATGCCAGCAGTACTTGAACCCCCAACTGTTCCCAGAAAGGTTTTGGCAAAATATATCTACATTCATAATGAAGGTGTACCGGGCAGAGAAACAAGAAATTTAGCTTTAGTTACAGCATTCGGCAAATGTCAAAATAAACCAGGAGAAGTGTTATAAAAAATAATATACCCCAGACATTTCTATCCAAATGAGATTAGATTTCTTCAGTCCCATGAGTTGGTTGAAAATCAGGAATCAATTTGCTCTATAATTCTTACAGAGGTTGTCTAATTTTTCACAGACGTGTTCAAAAAATAAACCACAAATTTATTTGATCTCCTCAGGGAAAACTAGTCCCTTCCAAATAGTTATTTTGTCACTTTTACTTCCTTGATTTATTTCCCTTTCTTTCTGACTCCTTATATCCCAGTCCATGCAACTCCCTCATGCTCCCTTTCTGTCCCAGACAGCCTGTTTGAAGGTGAGCAGAAAGAACCACCAAAAAACAAAAAAACAAAACAAGCAACCACAAAGAAACACCAAGTACTAATATTAATATCAGGATGTCAAAGACTTGAGTTATTACAGATGACAAAGCATTAATCGAGAGAGCACAGGGCATGTTCCCCTGAGGTGTGACACCAAACTGGATGTTCAAAGAACCCAGTCGAATAAAAATCAATATTAATGCGCACACTTCCAGAACAAAGGAAGTATGTCAGTGCTTTTGTTTAGAGGATGCTTTTTCATCCTAACTTTAATTTTTTTTCTTCTTAAACCATCGTTCATTCCCTCACTGAGTGGAGGGAGGGGGTGTTTGTTCCCCTGGGAGAACTCATCTGTCCCACCTAAAGAGTCCTCAGTCAAATCAAAGCTCCCAGCAGCCCAAGGGCCCTAATTCAACATGTCACATTCACACTCACGGGAATGAAATGAGAAGGACAGCACAGGAGGGGTTACACACATTCCACTTTCCCCCCTATTTCTTTCACTATTCCTTCACAATTTTCACACCATGTTTACCGCCTTCATTCTATTTTACGGTTTAAGTTCCTGGACCTTGGCAAACAGATCTGGATGAATGTTTGGTATTTTAATAAAAAATAATGCATCTATGAATTTTATCTTTATAAATCAGAATCAGAAATAGCTTCTTTTTTTATTTTTTTTATCTAGGTATCTTTGTAATATATTTTTAGAATTTCTTTATTCATATTTGTTCATAATACATAATGTTAACATTATACAACTTGAAATGTAAAAAATGTAATGAATGTTACATGTTTTAAAAAAATTAAGGTTTAAAATAAAAAAAAATCATATGGTCAAAAAGTGGCAACTTTTCCTTCCAAACACAAACGAAACTCGCAGCCTCGGAATGACACCAAGAGTTAAGCTGAGGATAAGTGTTCGGCCTAATTTCATTGGAGGTGCACAACAAATTTGTCGAACACATGCAAGATACACACACATGCAAACAGCACACACACGCACAGATGCTCACGTGCACACCGGCCAGATGGAGTAGGCGAGGCAGGGCCAAGTGCGTGTGCACCTCATCCGTATGCCACGTTTCCTCACTCCAGCGATGGCTCCTCAATCGTTACGTCTCGGGTTTGAACTCCTGATACGAGCAGTATTGTTGTTTTGTCTTCTGCCCTCCCTCTCTCTCTCACACTCATCAAAATAACATCTGTTTACATCTATGCAAACACCTGACAGGCAGCTGATGCCCCCTTTCTCTACCCTCTGCTCTAACAAAAAGCATAAAAAAACAAATAAAACAAAAAGGAAGGGGGGGCGAGTCTAGAACCGGAGCTCATCTGGGTGTACAGCCACTGGCCTAATCCAGATGTGGGCCGCCGAGCTCTGCAGGCAAAAACACACCTGGACACATACAGCAGCAAAACAAAGGGAAAGGGGGGACACAGCCCCCTGCTCCAGACTATCTATTCTCACTCTATCCTTCGCTTTCGCTCTTTCTCTCCGTCAAATGGAGCAGGGAATTGTCCTGTCCACGTATGGTGGCCAGTCTCACCTATGAATCGAACACACAAACTCAGCTTATCCGTGAGCTAATTCTATAACTAAAGAGGGAAAAGGAGTGTTAAAGTGTCACAAACGACTGTCTCCCTCAAACCCCCCACGGCTGCCCATGCTTAATCCCCCATGATGCACCGGGGCACTTTCAGAGCCACTGAGACCCACATTGGCGCCGAGGGCTCACACACATACGGCCATCCAGATGCTATGGGTAATTAACCTACCTCTGTGAGCGAGCACTCATGTAAAAGTATGAGAGACAGACTTTGTGCGTGCGATAGAATCGTTGCCATTATAAGACGACAAAAGAAAAAGGCACGGCGGCCACAAATGTGCAGTAGCCTAAAGAAATACAATCAGTTGAGACAAAAACACAAGCACACACACACCGCAGCAGTTGAAGAGTGAGATCAGGGATGAATGCATGCTGTGGCACAGGGGAGGCAGTTCTGGGCTTGGCTATGCCCAGGGTCTTAATGACTTAATTGAGGTAATTATTTGGATAAGAAGTCCAATCACCTGCCTCTTTTCCTCAAGGTCCTCATCAGAAGCTAATTAAAGAGCCGCTCCCAGCGCGAGTCCGACCGGTGCTACGTCAGAGGGTTAAGAACTCGGTAAAGAAAGAGTAAACTCTTAACGCACCCACATCTTACTCGTCTCGCCAACCTCCTACTGACCTCTGCGCCACTATTCGAATATGTAGCTTTCTTGCTGTTTTCGAAATCGGAAAAATGCTGTAGTATATGGAGGCATCAAGGCACTTTTTAATGCAATGTTTGCATAACATTGATTCTACTTAGATACATTTTTTTCAACATATGCTTCTGTCTCTACTGAAAAATAAGTGTTGTAGTCATAAAATATTCGTCTATATAACTAAAGCAAAGGTCTTCAACGGCGGATCTGTGGGCCCCTAGGTGGGCCATGGTGGTATTGCAGGGGGGTCTGCAATTATTGTTTAATCTCCAGCTAATTTTGTGAAAAAAAGATAAAGAAAATATGCATGAAACAAAAATATTAAAGGTAACTTCAACCAAAGATGAAGTTATGATGTTTAATGTTTCATTGTCCCTTAAATTGTCATTGTCATTAAAATGTATCACAGAAAGTTAAATGTATAAATATATAGATCTGTGATTATTTTAATGGATTTGCATCATAGGGCATTATGTGA